TTAAGAAGAGAAAAGTTTGGTTCGGAACCAATTGCTAGTAATTACTATCCAGTCAATACAAAAATATTTATTCGTGATGCCAACAAGCAACTAACAATATTAACTGATCGTTCGCAAGGTGGATCAAGTGTTAATGATGGACAAATTGAACTAATGGTTTAATTCCGATAAGCTTCAATCGCTTAATTAATTAATTGCGAGCTTCAAATATTTTTAGAAAAATTAAAAATTGGAGAAAATTTGTGGAAATTTTCACAAGTATTTCGCCATAAAGATTCCATTATCCAATTTTAAGGCATTTTTTTCTAACTTTATGATTTTACGTAAAGTTTCTTCTATTTTTCGCATTTTTACCAGAAAAATCTTTTTGAAAAATTGAAAAGAAAGTTATTAAGAGAAAAATTCTAAATCAAGATCCATCGTCGTTCATTTTACGATGATCATTGGGGAGTTGGTGAAGCGCTCGATGAACCAGGGGAAACAGGACGAGGACTAATCGCTCGAGGTCTTCACTGGCTGTTTTTTGATAAACCTGAAATCAGTTCCAAATTGCAGCGCACATATGCTTTAGAGCTGTATAATTATCCCAACTTAATGTTTTCTCCTTTAACGATGACATTTGAAGACTACCAAGCTTCATTTTTGACAGAGGTATTTATACTATTCAAACATTCACGTTAATAATGTAATAATAATTAATTGATCATCAATAACTGATTAACATGGATATGAGTAACTGTCAAATTTGTTTTTTTAGTACTCCGGATTGACGAGAGAACTTCCAGCCAATGTCAATATAATGACGATAGAAAAATTATACAAAGATAACTTGTTGATTCGATTTGAACACATCTACCAAAATAAAGAAGATAAAATACTTTCACAACCGGTAACGATAGAAATGCAAGTAAGTGGAAGATGTTTTAAAGATATTTCAGCCTTTTAGTACCCCTTATTTACGGAGATATTTCTCTTTTCTGGAAATCTTTCCTAAAATTCGAAATATATTCCATTTTTTTTAAAATAACACCTTTATTGCTGCTTTAGCTATCATCGTGCGTTTCCAAGCTTTTCGATCAGGTGCCACATCTAAAATTAACTTAAGCCACTCCTTTATTCCATCACATAAGCTGTCGACGAATTCCGACATCGGCCACCATTAGGCTTGGCTTATGGTGAGATATGCAGTGGGAAAAGGTTTAAATAAAACCTAAATAAATGGGTAAATTTATACTAGAAAAATATTGTAAGAACTTATCTGAAATAACAAATTCGCCTTGTTTCAGGATTTGTTTAGTTCTTTTTCAATTTTATCAATACAAGAATTATCGCTCGCGGCCAACAAATTTATAGGAAATTTAAAAATTCTACGAAAGAAAACCAATAGAACGTATAAAATTCGTAAAGGTTGGATTTTTGAAAATTTAAGGTTAATAGTCCGGTGTAAATTGCGAAAAATCCTATACGAAAACGATCATATTAATTTGCGATTATCTTCGTAAATTTTTACCGCAAAATAAACATCATTTCTTTCAGCACCTTTTTTATTTACAATCAATCCAATGGAGATCAAAACATTTCAAGCGAACATTCGTGAAAAAATTTCTTCGAACAGTATTCCAAAATACTAATTTTCTTTATCAGGGCCGCTTGTTGATTTTTTGAGTTGAGCTAATTTTTCTCATATGGTTGCAATTATACCGTCCAAGTTTTCACCTTTTTATTAAATTTATTATAGTTTAATAATAAATTTATTGATGGAAATAACATTTGAAAAAATAAATTTGCTTTTTCCGAAACGCTTCTTCGAATTCTCATAATCGCCGAAAACAATAAATATCTTAATAATTTTTGTTGTCAGATGTTTAAAAAAATTGACAAAATTTTTAAAAATTTTCAAATTACCTAAAATCTTAAAATGCTAATTTCGCCAAAAAATACTGAATAAATAAAATTGTTAAAAGAAGAAAAGGAAAGTACGGAAAAATATAAAAAAAATAAAAACACAACTGCCTAAAATAAAAATAAAATTTAATAAATAACAACATATTAAAATATTTTGAATGCAGCTTCTGGACATAAGGTAATAGATTTAAAGAAATTGAATGTGCCATCTAAAATTTACTTGTACTTCCACTCGAAATGAGATACTTCATGAGATTAATCGCATGTTATTTAATTGTTGATAATGGCGGAAAAGGTGACGATTTGCTCAGTACCAATTTTTTGAACTGATGACTTATATAGCCTTTAATTTTCTTCTGAAAAAAATATTTAAATATTCAAATAAATTGTTTCATCTAAAACCATTTAAAATTTACAATAGAAAAAAGAGCAGTTATCAACCCACATGGCATAGCTTTGCTAAAGGATTCTAGCCTTCTTAGCATTAATCGCACCCCATAAGAAATCGTGCACTTTTTCTTTATTTGTTTATCTTCCATCGAAACATGAATATTTCATACTTTTTAACTGATAAATAAACATCACCGTGGACCAGACCACTAATTAACAGATGAAATTCATATATATCAAACATAAATCAGTTTAGTTCTCAAAAACATCCTCCAAGTATGTAGAGAATTCACCGAGAAAATCTCATAAAGTATTACCTCACAAATTAGATTAGCAATAATGCATTCCAATTCATCTTGATCAATATCGTCAATACCCAACCAATTTAAAGCACACATAAATGCGTCAAATGGTATTACATGGGAGCCAACAAAATGTGAACTAAAATAGAAATAGACCGATTAATTGATGGAAAATGCACATAATAATAACTTTATATTCAATAATAAAATAAAACCAAAAGAAGAAATAAATGAAATTTAAATACAGTAAGATAATATTAAGCTAATAGCACATATCTAAAACCTTAAAATGCTAATTTCGCCAAAAAAGACTGAATAAATAAAACTGCTAAAAGAAAGAGAAAATTTCACAGAAATCATTAAAATTATATCTTTTTGCAAAAAAATTCTCAGAAGCACAGCCTAAATCCTTAATAAATTAATTATCACTAAACTAACACTTTTTTGAACAAATTCCGGAATGTAATTATTTTTAATTTTTCCAACATTAAAAATATTCCACATTCAACGAAAAAATCTTCATGCCGTGCAAATGCTTCATCCAATTTTTTTAAATTTCCATCCATGAAATACACAAAAAAATAAATAATCATTGACAAAAAATAAAGAATCTAATCCAATATTTTCATATTAGCCTTTAAAAGTCTGGGATTTGAGTGCTCATTACCGAACAAAATATTAACCTTGTTCAAAGGTCAACAAAATTCAAGTCTTTCTTCAGCCATGTGTACTGGTTTGGTGAAATTTTTCTCTAAAACTGTAAATGAGTATTTTTAGGAAAAGTATCGACTCTACTCGATCCAATTTGCGATTTCTTAGATTTGTAGCAGCGCAAAATACTTTTATTCAACTAAATTGTTACTATATATTATTTTCATAATCCGATGAAAGATCCTTCTACGGTTGGAGCTGAGAACATTCCAGCTAGTCTCAGCAGCAACTGCTTTTAGAATGTCCCTATTAAATGCAGGCAGAAAGAAATAATAATATAAAAATATAAAATATAAAAATATAAACAGTAAATTGTGATTTCAAAATGTAACCTCAGAAAACTTCGAAAATTCAAAAAAAACAAAAATAGCAAAACTTTCTCTCTATTTTCTCCTTCCTCTTTATTAATTGGAAAAAAATTACTTCACACTTTCAACAACAATCGAGAACTGCTCCAACTGATATTGAATTAAAAGCTGAATAGTAGGCATATGACCAAGAAACATTTTCACGGGTATTAAATACATGAGAATAAGACGCTTGTTTCGATGACATTCAGCTGGACAATTTCTGAATGCATATGATAGTGAATGTTCAGCTGCAAAACAAAATAGCTGATTTAATGAATTTAAAATCCATGAAATCTCAAAAAATTTGAAAATCCAAGAAAAAGATGGAAACAATATAAAACAGTAAAAAAATACACCAAAGACGATAATTATAATAATTACATAATTTGAGATCGGAATCAAACATTGCTTTCCGCCCCAAATAATATTTGTAAGTAATCTTATCAGACATTGAAAAGAACTCATAAAGATGACCACAGTTGTCAATTGCTCGTATCAACGGTTTCAATAGGTTCAGCTTATTTATCTGAAAAAAATTTTTCAAAAAAATGAGAACTACAGAATGCAACTGAAAAAAAAGGTTAATAACCGTGATTATAGAATGAAATTGATTTATATTTTTTATAATCACAAAAATTAGGGCAAATTTTATGACTTAACAATTTAAAAAATGATAAAAAAAGAATAAGTGAAATAGAAATTACTCGGAAATAAATTCGAAATAAATGATTCGTTAAATTTAACATGGCAACTTTCTTCGAGACTTCCATTGGCGACCGGCTTAATTCAAATTTAAATGCAATGGAATGCAAATATTTTCAATTTTATGAATTTTACAAGGTGAAATTGACTTGTATTAGGTTACAAAAAATTGAAAAATGAAAATTAAGAAAGCACCAAATGGCGAAAGCAAAATCTGCTGTGGCAAATCAGAAAACCGATCCAAACTAGCAATCAATTTATCAACAAAATCAACGAGGATAAATTAATGAAAATGAAAATAGTGGGTTTATAAGGGAGAAAATAATAAATTAGAATGGGGTTTAGGCCGCCTGAAAAGAATGTGAATAAACGGGAGATTCAAATTAATAATACACCAGCAAGAAAACAATCTGTCAAATGTCAAATGTCAAATATTCTTCTTTAATCAGAAGAAATAATACTTCAGCGAATGCAAAGATGTCATCTCAGACCCTACATCTACATAATGACTTCCGTTGACTCGATCCACAAAGATTTTTATTTTCCCCTCAATTAAAGTGATCATGTCTCGGCTTCCTGGTAAATAATGTATGTAAAAATGCGAACGATAAATAAACAATTCGATTAAATAAGATTACTTCGTTATAAAAGATATAAAATTAAAAAAAATTTTTGCAAATTTTATGAATTAAGAAATAAAAAATTATAAAAAATTTTCCAGAATAAAAAATTAAATAAATAAAATAAAATTTGCCAAATTAAATAACGAAAATTTTGTATTTAATTGTATGAACCCAGCCACATCCTAATAATAGTCCGAATTATACCACGTTAATAACAACTTATTTGGTAGATATGACGACCTTAACAATGTTTATGTTTATAAATTTTTAATAAACAATGTTTATAAATTTTAAAAAGATGAAATTCATAATTAATTCCTTTTGCGGCAGCGGACCAAAATAAAGAAAATGAACTAAGTTAGTTAACAAGTGAAATAGTGAAATAGTGTGTGAATCATGCCTTTTCTTCTACAAGCAAAAATTAGGACAATTAACTGCTTTCTTTGACATTTTTGGCTTGATCTGAATGATTAAAAATGAAAATCTTTTTCATTTCGCAAATCAATTTAAATTATGAACTCGCGCATCGCGACACAAATGACATGAAGAAAAAGAATAAAAACTAGGAAATAACATCTCTGATGACTCAAGGAAAGGAAGAAAAATCCGTAGTAGAAGCCGACAAGACAAAAATGGCATAAAAGATTTAACTACATAAAAGATTTCTGCTTTCGCCATTCAGCGACGGAAGGCAAACATTCTTTTAGAAAATTAGGAAATGGTTAAATGAAGAATGCTTACAGATCGGCAACACATGTACGATAACATTCCATAATGTAAATGGCTGACTGTTCATAAAAGCTACTTTTTTCAGGATCGCGGAGACGACTTTGTTTTAAATCAGCCTGAAATAAATATGATTTACAAATCAATTCCTAACAAGCAATATCTCTCCTCCAATCTTTTATTGAAGAATCAGCCTACTAGATATATCAGATACTTCAGAATACTTCAGATATATCAGAAAATACTTGCTTCCCTTTTACTCAACAGACTTATGGAAGTATGGGACAGCAGGATGCGCCCTAATCAAGCTGATTTCAAACCGGGATGCGGTTGTGCTGACTAGATATTCACGATAAGAAGGATATTGGAACATCGCTTCAGATATTTGCAACCCACTTCACGGTTTCATCGACTTTGCCGCTGCCTTTGATTCAATTGATAGAGCGGCGCTTTGGAGGGTGAATGCGATGGTGTTCCAGAGATCATTCGACTTATAAAGGCATTTTATGAGTGCACGTCGGCGCAGATTTGTGTATATGGGGAACTGACAGATTCCTTCGAAATAAGAGTTGGTATCCGTCAAGGTTGTGTTTTTCCCCTACCATATTCAATTATGCAATAGACTGGATAATAGTCATAGCTTATCGGCACTCAAGAGATGTCCAACCATATCACAGATAAAGAGCACCGTATCACAGATCTTGAATACACTGATGATGTAGTCCTTTTTGCTGACAGTTATAACGAAATGCAAATAATGCTAAATAACGTGTCAGCGACTGCAGCGAGAATCAGACTCAGGATCAACTTAAATAAAATGAAAGTCTTTTCATCTTATTGTGCATTTAGAAACTGATAAAATGCTTCTTTTTATAAATTCATTGCCGGTTGAGGAAATACGAGATTTTAAATACTTTGAGTCCACTCTAATACCAAATGTCCACGTAAAACGATTTTACAACCCGGATCACGGAGAAATGTGTCCTTCCGGTTGACGAAGCTTTATGAAGCCGACGTGAAATTGCCATTAAAACGCATCTATATAGCCGTGATTCGTTCCATCTTACTACATGGCCAATGAGAGTGGAGGATATTAAGAAATTATCTGCTTTTGACCACTCTTGTCTAAGGTAGATTTTACGAGACCATCGAGCGGATAAAATATCATATCCATCTTCGTTCAAATACCATTTGCATCAATAATGTTATTACAGAGCGTTGCCTTCGCTGGTTAGGGCACGTTTTCCGTCGTCCACCACAAGAGTTGTCGCATATTTCGTTACTTGCTAAACCGTTTGATGGATGATGACAAAAACGCCAATCAAAATTTGTACTAATACGGTAAGAAAAGAATTTAAACGTATAGACCAGCAATATATTGATTTAGACGATGGAAAAGTAATGGCTTCTATTATTATCGACGATGGCATCAGATCGCTTCGTCTTACCTTTGTAGCCGTTGGATCCAGCCTAACCAGTCATGGTGAGCTGTTAGAAGATGAAGAATCTATTTTTAATAGCATTCTTCTTCAACATCGCTTATAGAAGCGAGAATATTGCCATCTGCGTGAACTATTCCAATTCTATTGCATATTCAGATATTATTCTTATTCTCAGGTAAATTGATGCTATTATATTAATTGATTAATCCACACGTTTTTAAAATAAATCTTGATTTTAGAACATACACCTTCTCCTTAGGTATTGGTCCCACAGTCCATTCGAATTCAACAAACGGCCTGGTCTTGTAAAGTCGAATTATTTGCGTTACCCATGGATTTAGAATTTGCCTAACTTCACTGACCATTTCACCCTTGAAATATTTTAAACATTAAGGAATTCAAAAAAATGGTCTATGATCAAGCTTCCTTACTTTTATGTGAGAAATTGGAGAAATAAAGCAAATTATAATATATACCTCGACAACATTATAAGTAATATTTGATGCAATCGGAAAAGAAATGGTGCCATTTGGTCTGAAAATGTAAGCACCAGATGGTTGATTAGTTGTATTAGATATTCCAGTACCATGATAGATCAAAAATTCTTGTTTTAACACGCTAATCGAGCCAGATTCCAGGTTTTGTATTGAAGATAAATATCCACGAGTATCAAATTCAAGTTCAATGAACTAAAATCTCCAAATTTTATTCGGAGCAAAGTTGGCTGAGTAAAACGATAGTACATATTTAAAATAAAGGAATTCTCTAATTATTTGTCTGAATCGACGAAATGGTTGAAAAATTTAATTTGAGTTATTTTTAAAAATTGAAGTCAACTTTATTTTTTATTCTGAACGAATTTTCATTTATCTTCAACTTCAGCTCAGTTTTCTGTGAAAATGATAATTTTGGTGATGAGGTCGATTTTTTGAAACATCTCATTTCATTAATCAGATTCCTGTAAACAACCATGGATATCGTTAGAATAAAAATAAAGCAGTTAGCGCAAAGCGTAGTTGGAAACCATTCAGAAGGCAACAAAATTAATTTAATCGAGATAAGAACACCTCTCACCAATTACAAGCAGTTACCTAACAATTGAGCTCTAGAAACTAAGATTTTTGAAACTTACGTTTTCTGAACAACAAAAATGGTAGCAAATCCCATTGCAGGAATCTCAACTGGGATTAATAATTCATAAGTTGCTGCTTGTTCAGATTTGATAAATACTTCATTCATCTACAAATATATATATATATATCTGTAAAGAATGATTGAGAGATCAACTAATCGTAGATTTTTTTAAGAAAAATTCTTCATTCAAAAAAAACAAGTTTTAAAAATGAAGTAATTCGAAAATTTTATGAATAGATTAGTTTCTTTCACCTGAAAAGGTAATATTTTTCCTTTTTGATCAAAAACTGAGGCACATTTATGGTAATATGGAACTCGAATTACTGATTGGTAAGGCCGTGTATTTCCATTCAGAACAATAATTGCAAAATTGGAATATTTTCTAAATTTGACTGAATTCATTGAAAATGACGAATGGTAGTACATTTAACAGTCATTAATTTAATAAATGAGGATATCCATTATACTTTATTTGGTTTTCTTCAAGGGAAAAATTTAATTTATCGTACCTTGTAATATCACATATACTTTCATTAATCAATCTACATATCACTTGTTCAGGGAATTTGATTGTACCATTCCCGATTCGAACAATTTTGGTCAAAGCCTTATTAATCACTTCCTGAAAATAATCCATAACTGGTCGAACATTAAAACTTAAGAATTTTTCACATACTTCTGCTTGATCCAATCCTTTAGATAAACGATATTTGTAATCCTTTGTAACGTTTTCTTTCGCAGTCCCTCTGTAATAAATTTTATTTTATAAGTAAAAAAATAAAAAAATACTATGAATGAAGTTATTTTAGGATTAGTTTTTGTGCTGAGTGTTTGGTTCGTATATTTCTTTATATTCTCTACATTGCTGTAATGATTAATGATGCTAATAATCATTTGATTGGCTGGTGATTAATCCGTATTAATCGGCCGTAAGCGGCGGTGCCACTACTCCGCTTTCGGTTTACTGGTTGCTGCGGATGTGCCTAAATTCCCTTTATTGTTTCTTTTTTTCCTCTTTTTTCTCCCAAACAGTTTGAATTTTTAAATAGCTCAAATAGAAAAAATAAAGTACGAAAATTTTTGTTTGGTTATTTCACTCTCTTATCAAAAAATTTCGTAATTATGAATTGTTTCTTTGTTTGTCTTGAGAGAAAGTAAGCTTGTCATTAAAGCGAAATCTGAGTGGGTGCTAGCAACTCATCTATTTTTCTGTCCTGAAGTGATTGTGTGGCGAGAAAATGAAACAACTGTCAAATGGCATCCATGTATCCCTCATCCCTAATTTGGTGTATGCGACAAATGCGCCAACAGGAAATAGTGATATTTAATAATGAACCAATTAATATGTGCACACGCGGCGAGATCTTGACTTTGACTAAGAATCTTGTTTGTGATTATGAATGTTTAGTCAAGCGATAACTGTCCACATTTTATACAGTTATCTTGTGGACGTTGCTAGCGTGTCGACAATACGTCTTCATATTTCAAGCAGTGATTCAATTAATAATTAATTGGCCTGTGCCCGCTTTAAGAGAAATTCTGTAAAGTCTAGGTTATCAGAGAATCTATTGCTCCTAAGCTATGCACGCACGAATTGATAAAAATCTTTGAGAAACTTGATCAATATTTTTCTCAGTGGAATCAAACTGTGAGATATTTACTGTGCAGCCATCCTCTGGCCGATGAATATAGCTCAGGGATTTGATGTACCAATGTTCCCCATAAACTTTTAGCGTATAAAATTCCAGCATTACAGCAAACATCTGGTTACGTGGTGGTCTATAATCGCTAAAAGAATAATTGCTCGTATAACCGAGCCAAAACTGGTAATCCCCATGTATCGGACTACGCCACATTTACAGTTAAAATCCGAATGGAATTGAGGTTTATTTTTCCCAAAATTCTTTTCCAATATTCTGAGATAAGGCTTCTGAGAAATCGCGTTAGAGTTATCTATCCCAATGGAGAGAGTTGAACCCAAATTTGACATGAAATAATCTTGAAACTCAAAAGCCTAAGGTTAATCCCCAGGTAAGATGGTCTTCAAATTTAACTTTCCACAACCAGCCTGATAATTTCATGTTCATTCATATTCATTTATAGAAACAAATATTATGTGACAAGGCTATTATTGTTTACAATCCTCAAAAAAAAAAAATTCAACAATTGTGGAGGAATCAGTTTTGCTTGAATTTCTAAATTTTTCTCTTCCTTCTGCTTAATAGATTCGTTCTTCGTTTAAGTCATTCATTATAGTCGCTGATGTTCTTTAAGGTAGTTATATTGGTCCTTTGTTATTTGTTATGAATACTAATGGAATCAACAGTGTTCTTCCAATTCTAAAATGTTCTTGTATGTTGATATGATTACTGCTCACTGCTTAATATATTGGTTATATGATATGGAATTGCCTGCAGACTTATTGAAACAATATAACAATACGGTGACAAGATAGATGAACCGAATTTTCTGTGATGGAATGCAGAATTTTACATGTGAATTTTACATGTAAAAATCTTCTTGGCTATTTCCCAATTATATTTCTAATTTAATTTTAATTTCTAATTTCTCCGATATCTCCGATATTTCAGAGTTCGAACTACAGATAATGAATAAAATCTTCGATTTTAAAAGATTTTAGAATTATAACGATTCGCAAAATTATAAATTGTAAGGTCTTCAAAAATTCTGGGCTTTGTTCAAAAATTCAAAAAAGGAAAGTATATATCTAAAATCTTCCTAATACTGTACGTTTCCTTCCTAAATTTGATCTGATAGGTCTACAGAATCAAACGAGGAAACGAGGAAACATTTTTTCCTGGCTCTTCCATAAGTTATACGTCTGATGAGAATTAAGAACTAAGCAAGATTTGACTCCTATATCTAAGATATTATTTCCTCCGTTCATATAAATGGTTATTACCACTTCATTCATTTAAAGGTAATTTCATGTTTATACTGAAATTTTAATTTAAAATTTTAAGTTTCTCCTTTCCTGTTTGCTTCTTGCCGAGTGCTAAATGGCTCATTTTATTTTTATAATTAATTCGAGTTCATAATGTAATGCATTCCACTCTTCTCGAATAAGAACTTTAGAGAACAACTTACGTAATAGCGTCGTGATGTTGTACCAGTGCAAGCGATTCGGCTAATAAATTCAGATTACTGGAATTCAATCCAGAAAATGAAATTAGCTGCTTTGATAACTGAAAATTGGCAATTGATTTGGCTGAGGCAGTTGGCTGATTCAATTCATAAAAGATAAATGGAGGCCTTTCGTTTCAGTCTTTTGATGTAGTATCGTAGTCGAACAATGGATAAAACTTTGAAATATAAATTTATTTAAAATTTACACAGGAGGATCACCTGAAATAAAGCACTCATTTGCCGAACAAACCCTTTGAATGTCGGACGACTCGTATAAAACCCATTCCAAAAGCTATGCTCGGACGATGCGTATGGTAGTAAATCATCGGATTTTTGCGTTAGTTTAGGCGAAGCCTTTTTTACAGCATCTACATAAGATGATGGAGTCGAATAAAACATTTTAATTTTCCTTTCATTACCGTTATACTTCTGCAATTAGCGATGCATAGCTGCTAACTTTCTGATTGGATTTATTAAATTTTTAGATTTTTTACGTCCGATTTTTCTTAAATTTTTGTTGATAGTTAGATTTTGTTGTTTAAAAGAGAAGAAACGTTATTAAGATAATCAGTGGTTAGCACTCGTTGCTCCTGGTTAGATTCGCTCTGCTGTTAATATGGCTCGAAATTTTTTGCCGCCGAGTCACTTGAGTACGCGCTAGTACGTCCTCAGCATCACCGGGACTTTTTAAAGACAGGTTTATCCATGTCGGTTTAAGAGTTGCAAGTTGAAAGCAACAATCTAACTGATAACAACATTGTTATAAAACATTATTTCAAATTAAGCACGCACTTTACTGTTAATATAATAAACGATTTTATCTAGATTGGTAAACCACATGTTCGCATTGCTGTATCCAAAGTCGCCACCCATAAGAAACATTATATGATTCGTTCGGTAATGGCTTTGCTGTAAGCGTTCGACATCAGCCAAAGAAGATCATTGCAAATTGATAATATATTTGAATGCTCAATTGCAACAATTGCAACCTGGCATATGTCTCATCAGAATTCAGAAATAGTAAATAATAAATATTCTCGAATATCTTATTCGGCAACAAATTCTTTATGAAAATTGGGAAAAAAACAATACTTGATTTATGGCATAATTTATTAAGTTATTGATACGTTTTTCTATATTGTAACCTTCCATATTCCTATTATCCATAATCGGTTCATCATTACAAAGCACGTCGAAACAAAATCCGGCAGGTGGACCGTAATGATCTTCGAAGAAAGTCCCAGCAAATATATTTCGTTCTATTAATACTTTTAATTATTAATTAATTAATTAATTACTTGATTAAAAAAGGACGGATGGGAAAAAAACTAACTGAATTATGGTTTGCCCAATTTTTTTTAAGAGCACTCACTATTACTGTTCAAACTCGCCCTGCTGGCTTGTCGGACTAGGCAAATATCAACGAATCTTTTGGCGATAGAAGCAGATGAGCAGCCAGCATCACTCGGATTTTTGAAGGACTGGTTTATTTCTACCGGGAATAGAACCTCAGCATCGGCACTCCGAGTTGAGCAGCAACACTCGGCCATACACCCAGCATATTTTCTCAATTCTACTTCAGACATTAAGCCTTATTGTATAGTATTTACTGAAAAAATCTGGAAGAATATAATCGAATAATAAATTTTAACTTGTTTCGTCCGAAGTATTCCATAAAAATTCCAATGAATTAGATTTCAGCCGCTCTGCTTTTTCTAAATAATGAATTCTTGCAAAAAATAATGCTTCAAATTCCATCTGAAATTTTAATTGTTAAAGGCTTTTTTAAAGGTGTTTACTAATTCCTATAAGCAGTTCAATTGTTAGACCTACGGTTTTATATTAATTTTATGCATTACCATAGCTAATAAGTTAGCCATCTCGCGGCTATGCCCAAATGTATCAATTTGCCATGCAACTTTTGGTGCAGCGTATGAACCGAATGTTTCATTAAGTTTGCGTAAACCGAAAGTCATTTGATCAATAATATCAACGTAATGCGTTGCTGCTTCATCATTTTGCACCCAACCCCCTCCAACAATTTCAAATTGCCCTAAATAGAATGAAGAGAGCTTATCAGCAGTAGCATTATTTTCTTTTATTCTTCATTATCATTCTTTTATAAGGAGGAAATTGCGTTCTTTAAATAACAATTACTGGCTTTTTTGCGAATTATTCTGAATAAAATCACCAAGTGACTTTGCTAAGTGACCTCGTCGAATTAATTTTTTCAACCGATCTTTTTCTGAGTCACTATGGTCCTGGAACCATCGCCACAGAAATCCTGTTTCGGCCCATGTGAACGTGCGCGAATTAACTTTTTCCAGTTCATCAATCACCGTGTTCAAAATGTATTGTACTCCACCAGCTGTTATATTATTATGCGCTGTAATAAAATAAAATTTTAAATAGAATGCTATTAGTGATAATGACTAAAACTATTTTATCTAACTCTTTTAAGAAATGCCCAGCAAAAAATAAGTTTTCCATCTGAAAAAAAACGATAATTTTTTCAAAGCATCTTTTTTTGAGTCAGTGTAAATCGAGATGAAGTAACTAAGATCTAAACGATATTTTCCAGTAGCATTCATTTCTGATTTGGTTTGCTCTACTGACTAAGATCCTTCTCAAAGAGAGTAGAGCCGCATCTCAAGCATCACTCTTACCTCACTCCTAATGACTCCTCTCAAGAGACAGGATTCCATAACATTTGACCACAATTCTGACATTTTGCATAGAAGTCTTAAATCTTATTCTAGCCATACATGGTGAAAGCGCTATTTTCAATGAATTGAATGATCGTATCCTTGAAACCACAATTGCCATCTAATTCTTTAAAAAGCGAATAGATAAGCAAATCATGAAAAGTACTGTGTAAAAAAATTGGAAAATATCGGTCCTTTTAATATTTTTTCACCGACGGTACCATTAAAAAACTTACAGCCGTAATAATATTGATCGACTGTTTTCAACCATCCTAAATCATCGTGAGAGTGACAAATAAGGTGGACATTGATTGTACTTTTATCATCTTCATTGTCTTTCTGAATTGAAAAATTTTGATAATTGATGCAAATAATAATTTGTTGGTGCAACTTTATTTTCCATTCCTCTAAGTTTCATTTTTCTGGCAATATTTCTAAACCGCTGTAACATCCCTTATTTTTTCCACATATAGACTTCCATTAATCTTCTTCTAACAATATTTAGCATTTCTGGTTTAGCTGGATCCACAGGCTATCAGGATATGATTCTTCGTCCGAGAGTTATTACTGGATAGATCTGGAGATAGGCCTCAAGCATCATCGGATTCCACCTTTAGCAATGGTGATATTTAGCTCTTACGCCTACCAAGAGATAAGATATAATCTATGGTAATTTGACCTATGACGAGTACCTCTCCACCATACTGGTTTATAGATTTCCATAATCTTTTGATGTATTTATTTTTTGAAGCGGTTAAAAAGTAAACACCTTCCAAGTACAGTTTAGAGCATATTTAGATATCGCCAAAAGTAAAAAAAGATTCCGAAGTAAAGGTTTCGATGAATTTTCCATTAATTTCCCTTTGAAAAAATAATTCCCTAAAAGAAAAGAAACTCATGATTTATGATTAATAATCTCAGGAAACAATATCAACCATAACAACCAAAGGGAATAAAATCGAATCGAAACCAAACGAAAAATTTCGGCAAACACGGAGATTTGCATCATTTCCGCCTTTCCTTTTTTCCGTAAAGAAACAATGAATTTAATTTCAATAGCAATCCACGGAAAAAATGAATAGATCTTAGCGATCTAATCGAATATTAAAAGGAATGATAATAAAAAAATTTAGTGATAAATTCTGTTAAACCTTCGCATGAACCAGAAAATTAAAAACCTAAATTTTTTGATTCATTAGTTTATTTCAGTATAAATTTTTTTTCCGAATTTTGTTTGCTAATTTTATTATCAAATTTTTTATAAATTTTTAAAACTGTTTTATTGCTAATTGCTAATGTAAAATAATATAACAAAATATCGTCGTATTTCTTTTTGATAATAAAAGTGCTGTTAACCCCATTGTTTAATTGTTTAACGTTTATACTAATAGTTTATAATAGAAATGATAAAAAAATTATAAATTGTTGTTCTTCAAGTTTTTTTTTTCAAAAAGAATTGCCAATTTTGTATAAAATATTGTTTGGTACTTTATGGTTCATTTCATTTCACCATTTTTCACCATTTCACTCATTTCACCATTTTAAAATAATTATGTGGTTACAGCACTCCATTTCTAGTTAGGCCCGTTTTATTCGCTATTACTACGTTAAGAAATTTTTCACCAGAAGATCATTTGGCGACAGAATTAGAGCTGATCCACCATCACCACCTGGATCTTTCGATGTAAGAAATTTTTTCCGAAATTTTCGCTCTATATATCTTGAGCAACAAGTAATCTCCTATCCTGTCTCCCTTTTTAACATTTGGGCACTCAGAAAATTTTCTTGGATTGAAAACAAATTTATTAAAATAGATTTTATAAAATGAAATATTTACTAAATATCAACCTAATGATAAAAGTAAGTGTGAAATGTTCAAATATGAATAAGGCAAAGAAAAAATATTGAAAGTTTATTTCAACACAACTGAAAAATGAAGAATAAAAATATATTTCAACGGACTGATAAAATAAGACAGTAATGATAGAAATGGAATATCGCTATTACCATAATTGCCATCATAAATAAAGAAATAATAACTGATAATAATAATTGATTATAAATCATAGAATTACTCTGGATAAATCCATATAAAACAACGCCATCCTAATACTTTATATCATTTGCTGAATATTTTATCAGAACATTCAGTCTAAGATATTTAAGAGTTGGCACTTATTCAATCTGTGATGCAGTTATGGATAAATATAATTACTTTAAACACATTTAATCAGCATAAGATTTCATAAATAGCAATCGAATCAAATGAGATATCATTTTTTCGTTTGTATGAGATAAGCATTTTCAAGGTCTTTATATAAATCTCGGTGTAGAATAGAAGACGCAGTAAGTAAACCACTATGCAACGCACTACTTACACCACAAAACAACACATCTTGACCTGAACAAAAAAATCCCGGCAAATCAGTTTTTATCCTTAAATATGGCCAGTAATTGGATTGAAAGCGATCAACTTGATGTGTTAACGAATAAAGTTCCCCATGCATATTCTGTAGATAATATTTTTGAGTCAAAGGTGTTGAAAATTCTTTAAAAATTATTTCATTTTTAATACTTGGGAATAATTCCGTCACCATATCTACGAGGTAATTGCCTATAGTATTCTTTAATAACAAGTATTTTTCCTTATTTTTTCGCTTTCTCGAACGATCATTTCTCAAATTCTGAAACTCGGAAAACCATTCGGGATTCGCCAAGCTTATAATCTGGCATGTCGAAACATTTGGATGACGAGCAGACCAACCAGGATCTTTTGCCGATGGAAAAGAGATATACATAGACGGTGGACAACCATAATCTATTACTTCGTCCATCGTTTTTAAACTTAAATAGCGACTATTTTCAAAAATATCATTTGTCTTAAACCAAAAGAAATTGTTTGATGGCAGATTCAGGTCATTTCTGGTGCCAAGCAGTCCAATGTAGGCTTGCATGCCACCTCGTTTAACCACATCTTTACTATATAGTTCATTAGCAATTGAAAACATAAACGAAGTTTTAGCGGTAGGTGTTGGTATAAGTTCATTGAATGTTCGGACTATCGACGCTGTCGAAACAACAAGAGGAGACCGAATGAAAACCCTCGATGAACCATAATCAACGATAACTCCATTAACTCGACGGTTACCGTCGAAAGTGATTTCTCTAACATTAGCTTTTACTAATACTTTCCCTCCAAATTTGTTAATGGATCTTATAATACTAGATGTAAGAATATTGGCACCACCAATGGGATAATAACCATTTTCCATAAAAAATAGCATATGCTGAAGAAAAGATGCTTGATTAGGTGAAACACCATAGTTAGCAGCATAAGAACTGATTACACATTGCAGTTGAGGACTTAAATTATATTTTGACATAATTTCGAATAAAGTTTCTTGAATACATCGAAAAATATTCGTTAACTTATCAAAAATATTAAATTTTGTTAAAATCTTATAAATAATTAATGGCATAAATTTAGCTCGGAACAACCAAGGTATTTCTTTCATACATTGATAAGAATAATCAAAAAACTTGTCGATATTGTCAGATTCATCCGGAAACCAATTTTTCAGTGAACTTTGAAATTCTTTCATATCACCTGCAGTACGCCCATAGCGTTGACCATTTATGATTACCATATCCACCGGATCATCCATTTTTTGCCATTGACAATATGAATCGGTTATAGCTGAGCAAATTTTGAATAACTGACGTCCTGAGTACATATTCTGAACGTAGTGTAGGCCAACATCAAATTCAAATTCATCAAGTTTAAAAGTATGACAAGAACCACCAGCTCGGTCATGTTGCTCAAGAATCAATACTTTATAGCCCGAGGCCGACAAGACTTTCGATAATGTCAAACTGGATAAACCACTCCCGATGACAATCGCATCCCATAAAATATTATTTACTTTTGAAGGTGAAAAATTGTCGTGTAATAGCTGATGAATTTCCTCTTGAATCAGTGGTCGGTCATTTGAAATTCCAGTACAATTCATTTTCAAAAATGGATTTCCTTTCTTATGGAGAAATAAATAATAATAATAAAATGTAATTATTGAAAGAAATAGTGAAAATATTAATAAAACCATGGACGAAAATCTTTTTTTATTCTCTGACAACCAACTAATGTAAAAAAATTTTTAAAGAAATTGCGAAATAAACATATAGTTTTAGTCAATTATTTTTAAAAATTACGGTGAAAATAGGCAGCAAGCTGTTTGAAAGTTTGAGAATAATTTAAAGTTCCGCTATAGATATCATATCAGTAGAATAGATATCAGTAGAAGTCGATTACTGCAGATCACTGCAATATATCCATTTTAGCAATACATTCATGTTCATGAAATTATGCTGAATTGATTCCGTCAATTATTGCAAAGCATAGTTTTGAACGTATTCACAAATTATAAGAAGAGAGTAGTGACCATCTTCAGCTCTCTTCTCAACGACTCTCTGGTGAAGGAGAGGAGTTCAATTTATTTATTAGTCGGTGGGATGAGCCAAACCAAAAATAGTGAATTCTGTAGATGTAAATATGCACAATAATTTTCTTATTTTCCTTCTTTTTCTCCCTCAATTTCCGTTTAAATTTGAGTTCTTGAAAAACAAAATAAAGGAATTAAATAACGAATCTAAAAAGAGCCTAATATAAATGGACAAGTAGAAAAGGAGAAAAGGAACAACGGATAAATTATCACAGGAAACGCAAGCCTTAGGCTTGAGGCTCTCCTACCCAATGATGGATGAATCTAAATTTTCCATATTTCTTCCCATAGCACTCATTCGAGTGACTTGGCGAAAAAGATCTTAATGTCCTCAGCAAAGGCCGAATTTCTCTTTTAATAACTCGATTCAGAAGGAGCAACTCGATCGAATGCAACATATTACTACGCATACAATTCCTTTCTTAAAATTGGTTATATTCGCTTAAAATTTCTTTATAATTGAAGATATAAAATTGAATGGACTGATATAGTGTGCTGAGATAAAGCTGCTGAAACTCCATAATAAAATTTGACTAAAATTTGACTAAAAATCAGCGGACTGTGTCGGAAATTCCGAAATATTTCTATCAAAATTATAAGCATTTTCATCGTTTGCTCGGATTCAGGTCGGCTCGGGTTTTTTTCATCGTTTACTTCATTTTTCTCTTTTGATTCATTCCTAGAGTCAGTGTTCAACGTTGGCTTTATGCGCGCTAGTAATTTCACAGCGTCTCCTTTTTTTAATTTATTACACTAACATATATATATATATATTTTCGCAGGTCGTTTTATTGTATTGCTATCTGGATAATAATAAAACTTTCAACTGGTTGTAAATTCTAACATCAATTCATGAAACCATCGACGATTACATAAGTCACTTCTTTCAAAAATTTTCCCTTTCTGAATTTAACAAAACTTTTCACGACAGACCGCGTGAATTTTTCGTGTCTGGTCTGCAATTTAATTACAGGCAACCAAAGTTTAAAATATCTTTAACCATATTTTTCCGCTGAAAATTTGCAGAAATGATATTATTTCATATAAATGATAATATTGGTAATCGACAATTTGAAAATATGAAATTTCGACTGTAAAAACAGAAAATTATACTATTTTAAAAAATTATACTGACTAATTTTAGGACTAAGTAGCTCAATATTGAGAAAATCGAAATATTTAAGAAAGCATGATAACTTCGCTTAAATATCTATAAGAATAAATAAGGCCAATTTGATTTTACATTAAATGAATAAGCGATGGAATAGAATGGCTCAGTGGGTTGTTGCTCAAATGGGAGCGCCGATGTTGAGGTTCAGTTCCGCGCAGAAGTAAACCTTTACAAAAACCCGGATGATGCTAACGACTCACCTTTATTTCTATCGCCAAAAGACTTCCTGGCATATTGCTCAATGTGATAAGCCACTGGAGCGAGTTTAACCAGTAATGGTGAGGACTTTTAAAAAAAAAGAATAAAGTGGTGAACTAATAGAAATATACGAATCTATATTTTAAAAAACGAAAAAAGCAAATTCGGATCGAAACCTTCAAAATAGGACAACTATGAAAAAAATTGTCTACATTTTGTAAAAGAACTATGAAAATGTTATAGTGAAGAACATTATTCGGAACTGCAATTTAGTTATATATAAATAATATATAAATAATAAGAATATATATATATATATAAATAATAAGAACAAAAATAAAAATAAGCATTTTTGAAAGATTTCTGAATTAAAAGTGTAATAAAAAAGCGGTTTGATGAACAAATGAAATGGAAGACGATATTGATTACCACAGGATTTATTACAAGAGCTAAGTAATTGCATTAACAGATAAAAGATAAGACAAGAGAGACAAAACGCTGACGCTGATTAAAACAAATTTGAAACTCGTATCGAATTACATTTGTCAAAAATTTCAACAATTTTTAAAATAAAATTTCTTTAACAAAAATTCGAGTCAAATGACTATTGCGGAAATATTTTAAGGAAATGAAATGTTATTCTCGAGAAAACTGCATTCTTGAAAAGAAAAGAGGAGAAAAAATATTGTAAAAAAATAATTTCTTGCGGCAAAACGATCTTTAAAAATTCATTTCATACAACGACAATATTGTGAAAATATCATTTTCTTAATACTTCTTCCCTTGTCGATCCAAATGGTGCAAGAATATCGAATGATCATGATGAAATCAACATGATCAGTGATAAGTTGTTACAAAAAATCAATTGATCAACTTGAGATTAAAATAAATCAAATAAGTCACCAAAAACTATGAAACGGGTTTTCGAGGAATGGATATAATTTTGATCAGTGATCTATACCACTTAACACCAATTCATGCTGCCTTAATCTCTAGACAGCCAAAAGAACGTATGGAAAATGCGATTTCGCGGCGCGAATTTCTACAGCTCTCATCAATATTAGTTAAGCTAGCCCCGTGGTTACCAATGATTTTGCAGCTGTTCCATCCGCTGATAATAATAATAGAAGCTATTCCTTTTTCTATCGTCTACGTCCATATATCACTGGTATATTCATACATTCAAATCTTTCCTAACCGTATCAGTGCATTTCGATTAGCTCTCCTCGCTTTTGACGCCATCCACCACAGAACAGCGAGTTATATTTAGCGAAGTATGCGTTAACTTATGTGGTGAACGACGAAGAACATGCCCTAACCAGCAAAGGCTCTATGATGGTATTAATGCAGGTGGTATTTGAACGAAGATGGATACGATCATGTGAGATTTTATCCCCTCGTACATGAGTGGTCAAAGGCAGAAAACTTCTTAATATCTTCAACTCTCATTACAACCATATAGCAAAATTAAGCGAATTGCAGTTATATGGACGTGGATCTTTTGATGGTTCCATAAAGGTCCCGCCAACCGGAAGAATGCATTTCTAACTGTTCGGGTTGCAAATGGATTCTTCCTCAACCGTCTGTAAGAACAAATAGAAGATGAATGAACTATTAAAAAATCACGTTTATTAAATTTAAGACTGAAGAAAATGTTTGATGCAAAAAGAAAATCATCACAAGCGCATTTCAGCTTCTAAAGCAAAAACTGAAGAAAGGAAAATTTACAGCGTTCGTTTTGAATTTTCTGTAAAGAAATCCTTTAAAAAAATATTTTTTTATTCTTTCTAAGGCTAAATTTTGTTTATGAAAATGTGAAAACAAAATATTAAAAAAAGACAAGGAAAATTTTAAAAGAACTCTAATAGAAAAATAACTAAAATGTAATTAATAATAAGAAATTTAACCAGTCGAAAAAAATTTTTGAGATCAATTTTAAGGATTTATTAATTAAACAAGGCCATTTTTTAAAAGAAAGATAATACTGCAGTTTACCATGTTGACACCTAATAAATACCCAAATAAAAAGCTACCATCATTGCCGACTAAATTCTTCGCAACTGATATGCAATATTTATTTTTTGAAAATCATCTTTAAATTTCTCTTTTTTTAAATTTAATTATCTGTATTCTATGATAGAAGCAAACCTATCATGATGTCAAAAATCCGGGTTACTGCTGGGGACCCACCTGAATCTCTGTCCACAAGTGATTCTATGGTGAAAGGATTCAAATCGGATCTCTTTGATGCGACGTCCGCGCCTTCTGATGCATGCTACTTCTGACCCGGTGGTACATGCGATAAATATATGATCAGGGCATGATAATAATAATAATTGATAAACTAATAATAATGATAGTAATAACAATAAATAATAATTAATAATAATAACAGTAATAATAATAATAGTAATAATAATAGTAGTAACAATAATAGTAATAATAATAATAGTAGTAATAGTAGCTAATAATAATAATAAATAATAATAATAAAGTTCCAAGGCACAAGCATTTGCTCGCGAACCGGGATACTCAAAAAACCCGTCAAGGGAGGCGAGAACCTATACGTTAACACTTTGTACGAGCGATGAGGTATTGGCTATAGCTGCTTGGAATATTTATGGATGTTGCAAACCAAGTGATCATTGTCCACGCCCTCTCTAAATACCACGTGGATGTGGCTTGTCGGAGGACCATTTTCTTTATGTCGGCTTTCGAGTAATTATTCAACCTGGTTCCTAGCAAAGATATTATTGACTAAATTATTGTGGAAATAAATGACCGTATGGCCTACGCGCGTTTCAAGGAAAAGTTCTACAATGCAAACCAAATGCAAATTTTTTTTTTTTATAAAATCATTGTCGGTTAAGGAAGCACCTGTTTTTAAATATCTTGCATCCACTATAATACCGAATGGCCATGTAAAAGACGATACAACCCGGATTACGGCAGCAAGAAATGCAATCTTCCCGTGAACGAAATCTTTATGGAATCTTCGTGAAATCACAATGAGGACGAAAATCCACGTCCATATAGCCGCTCGATCTTGCTATATGTTGCGAAAAATGGCCAGTGAGAGTGGAAGATATTAAGAAGCCATCAACTTTTAACCACCCATTTCTAAGATACATTTTAGTGATCCACTGAGCGGATAAAATCGCACATTATTATATCCATCTTCGCTCAAACACCATCTGCATTAATGTTATCACAGAACGTCGCTTTCGTTTTAGACGTTCTCCGTCGTCCACTATATGAGTTGAAGCATATTTCGCTACTCGCCGAACCCTGTGATGATTGGCATCAAAAGCGAGGTGGGCTAATCAAGACCTGGACTGATATAGTCGGGAAAGATTTTAAATGCATAGGGGTAACAGCGATATATGGACTTAGAAGATGAAAAAGAGAATGGCTTTTATTACTTTAGCGATGACGTCAGGCCAAGCGGCTTGGAGATGTCTTACTCTTGTAACCAGCCTAATCAGTAATAGTGACAGCTGTTTGAAGAAGATATAATTTAGCTTAGTAGATTTGCAATTGCCAGCTGTTTTATGGTGTCTATAGTATTAATTTATAGACTTCTGGATATTTAAAAAACCACTTAATTAGACTATTGTTCAAAAAAATTAAAAATTTAATATTAAAGTTAAGGTATTTAAGGTATTTTAATATTTAAAAGCTTAATTTTAAAAGCGAAATTTCGGTGCTAGAGAGGACCCACTCGCTCTGTTAGCCAACCAACCTGCAAAATTGATTCACCCTAATAGTGAATGGAGCCAACCTAACAAGAAATACTGACTGCTAACGCAAACTAACAATTGCTATAAGACTTACCCGACAATAAATGCGAAAGTATTTATCATTGCAAATTTAAATTGTATTTAGGGCTGCATAAGTTTTATTGAGTCCTAAAACGAATAGATTGAACGCGGCAGAATTTAAATAGTTTGGATAATTTCGTTCCATGGCGACGGCTCTTTTTATTTTTTTTATTTTAGTATCAGTTTTATGCAGTTTTTATTTTTTTACAAAACAACGCCTTTTAGCTATTAAATTAATTTAAATTAGTGGAAGCAAAGATTTTCCGATAATTTCGTTGCGAATTTTTGCTTTACTTTTGCTTTCGCAAACTGCTTAATTCAAAAATTTTTCGCTGCTTTCGGCGCATTTAAAAGAGGGTTTGGGAAGGAAGGGCGGTCTCGGCAGCAAACGCCAGGGGGGCGGTCTTTCTCCTCGCGTCGCCCCCTCTCCTTCATTTCTCCGCGAACTACTAACTCGTTCTTTTTCCTTCCCTTCTCCAATGCGACGCGAAAATAATATGAAAAATGAGCGAAATGCGTTCAGAAGAATGCGCAATGTTAAAAGGAAAGAGGAGGCAAAGTTATGGCCCTTGGCTTCTGCTCTACTTATATATTAACTTGCTTGGAATGGTTTGTGCTTATGGTTGAATGGTTATTGAGGACTGTTTTGCCCCCATAATTATCGTTGGGAATACCCAAGAAGCTTTCATTTGTATGGGCTTTATTTAGAGTTGCATCGTTTCACTCTTCCGAGCTTTCAAAAGTCGATGGTTCATTACGAACTAAAACGTGAAAAAAAAGGAAAATTTAGTTATGATTCGTCGTAGAATTGGATGTGAATTAAGTAGAAACGAAATTCTGAATTCGGTAATTTTTATTTCAAAAAATTAGTTTTTTATTACATTTCCGTTCGATGGACATGTGGCTGGGCAAAATAGGTCTTGCACCGGTGTGTCTCGCGCAGATGGCACACTTATTGCAGATATTGCCAGACATTCTTGGGCTGGCTAATCATCAGTATCGAGCAACGTTCTGATTCCATCAAATGAATGGATTATCCTCCATCTGATCGTGAGTGTGGCCAGTTCATCATGAAATCCACAGTTTTTGCTGTTAATTTCAACAAAGATTAAATCAAAATCTGTTGTTGTTTTTCGCTTTTTTCGCCTGAGAAATGTTTTCAGCATTATTTTTGATATCATTTGAATCTTTATCAGATGCAAGAAAAACATTCTTGGTGGGGATTTTTGAATTACGGAGGAAAAAAGCTATGTTTGAATCCGATAGTAAAGCTATGAAATAAATTTCACTCTGCAACGGTCAGCCTATAATTGCATAAATTACGCAATAAGAGTCTATATCTATATGGAAAATAGTTTCGTTTTCCCGATTCAACTTTTATTTCTTCTTTCTTAGTTTTACTGAAATCATTTTAGTGCAAACAGATTTTGATATTTACAACACATTTCTCTAATTGAGGAAGTCAAAGCAAATATTATTTTCTAAAAACTCGTAGCATTTTTTTGACTAAAAGCCAAATATGGCAACAAAATTTCTTAAATGTCGTGCTTAATAAAAGGAAAAAATAAAATAAAAAAATTTCACCATATTTTGCTGAATATGATTGTTTGAATATATAAGATGTATAAAATATAAAATAAATGTATAAAATAAATAATTTATTTTTTGATTTAAACTTAGAAAAATTTATTATGGGCAGTGCGAATTCAAATGAAAATAACAAAATGAATTTCAATTTAACGAAGATACCTTCGGATGAATTTATTGGTTCAAAAGTGGAGTCAAAATCCTTTGATAAAGCGTCGTCACGTTTGTGGTATGAGCTTTTATAGTTTTCAAGTAAACATAACTTATTAAAATGTAACTTATTCCTCTAAATTGTAAATTAAAAGCATTGTGAATCATATTAATAACATCAAATATATGACGTATAACGTGTCAGAAACTGCAGTAAGAATAGGACTCAGGGTTAATCTATACAAAATGAAAGTCTTTTCTTCTTATGTATAAGAAGCTGATAAAATGCCTCTTTTCGTAAATTCATCGAGGAAGTGTCCGATTTTAAATACCTTGGGTCCACTCTAATACCAAATGGCTAGGCAAAAGACGATATTGTAGCCCGGATCACTGCAGCTAGAAATGCGTTCTTTCGGTTGACGAAACCTTTATGGAATCACTCTGAAATTACCATTAAAACGAAAGTCCGCATCTATATAACCGTGATTCGTTCGATCTTGCTATGTAGCTCTGAGACATGGCCAATGAGATTGGAGAATATTAAGAAGCTATCTACTATTGACCACTTTTGTCTAAGGTATATTTTACATATCCGTCGAGCGGATAAAATATCGCATGATCGCATCCACCTTCATTCAAACACCACCTATATTAATAATATTGTCACAGAGCATCGCCTTCGGTGGTAAGGCACGTTCTCCGTCGTCCACCACAAGAGTTGTCGCATATTTCGTTACTTTCTAAACCGTGTGATGGATGGCGTCAAAAGCGAGGTGGGGCCAATCAACACCTCTACTGATACGGTCAGGAATGATTTTGAACGTATAGGTGGACCAGCAATATATGGACTTAAACGATAGAAAAAGAAATGGTTTCTATCACTGTCGATGATGGCATCAGACTGCGGCGTTTGGAAGTCGTCTTACCCTTGTAGCCGCAGGAGCCAGCCTAAACAGTAATGATGAAAGCTGTTAGAAGAAGGAGAAGATCAGACATATATAATTTTTTTCTTCATTTCTTCTGTGATGAAGATATTTAAAAAATTATTAGTATTATTTTTATCTTGAATTTTTCGAAAAATGCTTTGATAATAGATGTTAAAAATCGAAGTCTTTGAACTAATTTTAATGATGCTTTTAGTTCATCTATGAATGATTTAACAGAATTCGCTATGGCCCGGTCATTTCCGATTGAAGGTATTTCTCAGTATTCATTTTTTAGATGTGTAAATATCAGTTTTCTTTGTATTGAAATATTTTTCTTTAAGTCTTTCATTTTACGTTCGATTTTTAGGTTCGCTGCCTGACATTGCGCAAACAAGAGAAGAAAATAAAAAATTGAAAGCCGATTTGTTTGAATTAAAATCAAAATATTATCTTCTTAAACAAGAGTTACCCACCATTCGTGATTTAAAAGATGTAGATTTTAGTGAAGATGTAAGTGAAAATAAAAATAATTTTGTTTTAATTGTTTTTCTATAGCTTCGGATTTCTTATTTTTTGGTCTTCTTTGATCTTATAACATTTGTTTTAGTACATCAATTTGCGGATTAAATTATCAGAGTCAGAAAAAGAACGATTGAATTTCAAGGCTGAAATAAGTGAATTATCTGGAAAACTTAGTTCATTAACAGCCACACGAAAACAAGAAAAATTAGAATGGAATGAAGAAAAACAGAAGATCGTAGCGGAAATAAATCAACTTCGTGAACGAATGACCGATGTTCGTTTTATTTTAATAACTATTATAACTATTATATCTTATTCTTGAGTGGTCATTTTTCTATCCCATTATGCTAATTTCTTTTATGCTATTTCCAAATTTCTATTACAATTAAGTTAAGTTCTTTTAAATCATAATTTTTAAAAATTTTAAAAGAATTAAAATCAAATTATCAAGTTAAATTAAATTATATGAATTAAATTTTAAAAAAACTTTTCTCACTTCCCTGTAGATAATTATGATTATCATCAACCTCGCATCCTCTACCAGAAGCCTAGAAGATTGGTTTTACACAGAATCTCAGTTGTTTCTAATAGTGCGTTGTTCTAATAATTTCTGAATAGAAATTTCCAATGTTGTTTTTGGAATCTGCTAAGGCCATTTTTCTAATTTAGAGGTCACACTTCCAATTATTACTGGAATTGTTTTGACCTTTTCTTTCCACATCTTCTCTAGTTCCTCTTTCGGCCCTGATATTTCTCCGACTTCTCAAATTCCTCCTTCCTGACGTTCCTGACGTTGCTTGGTATTATTAAATCACCAATGTTGATTTCTGATTTTGATTTCTGTTGTTGATTTCTGATTTCTGATTTTTATTTGTTACCATCATATCTTGATTGGCCAGTATTTGTTTGTCTAACTGGATGAAGTCCCACAAGATCATCGCTTTATTATTTTCCACAATTTTCTGGGGAATCGTCCATTTAGTCTTAGGAGGATTTAAGCCATAGTCGAGTAGATATTCCGGTAGATGATACCAGCACATTGGTTTATGCTTTTCAGTATATGTTGTTCCTGCTTCCATTTTATATTCCTGCCACTCTGACTTGGACTGTTTTCTAGAGCACTTTTGCATAATCTGCATTTAGAATCCTGTTCATTATGGTGCATTCTTGTTTCAGTGGATCTGATGCTTATTGTCTGATGTTGTGCTGCTATGTTATATGGCTATGAGCGAGTCAATTTCGTTCACTTTTTGTATAAAATTTGATGTCATCCATATGTAAAAAAGATTGCTAGTCCCGCTCTTAAATTTATGTCCATATCTTTTCTGGTCCATATCTTCTTCTGGTAATTATTTGATTGAGAGGATTAGACTTATGCCAGAACAATAGGGGAAATAGTGCAGTACCTTCATATATGCCGCATTTGATAGCCATTTGTACAAGCTATTTCGAGTTGACTTCAGGTGTCGTTTTCCACAATTCTCTGAATTCTCGATGAACCTGTTTAGGATCCTGTTGACTTTGTATAGAATATTCACAGGTCCAGATGTGGGGCATGGAGCTACAGGCTTTCAATCCAAGTTGTACACAGAATGGCCTGCGGGCTTTTTGAATCTTGAGCGACTGCTTTATCTATAAGCAGCTGTGTTGTTCCCAATACCTTTTTGAATTGTACTTATGTATTGGCTCATATGGTCATGAAGCTTGATGCCTCATAGGACGACTTTGCCAACAAGCAGATTATTGGCCGGTTATTGGACAATATTGTCATACATGCTGATTTCGAAGTTACACAAGTAGTATTAAGCTGAGATGACCACAGAGCAGAAGATCTGAAATATTTGCTCATGTGCTTTGCTTTATCTGATATCTGATACTTTTTCTATATTTTTCATGAAATCAGTCCATATCAAGGTGGATATCCGCTGTTGGCTCCAGCAACAGTAATAACATTGGATATATCCAGAAGAACGATGGGTCCTCTGATACAGGAATTTTGAACGTATAGGTGGACCAGCGAACTTAATGGACTTAAACGATAGAATGGCTTCTGTTATTGTCGAGGATGGCATCGGAACGAACAGCTTGGAAACGTCTATTTTCCTCTTGTAGCCAGCGAAGCCAGCCTAATGGTGGCATCTTTTTTTACGCTTTCGTTGGTTTGTTTGGCGACAAGGGTGAGAAATTTCCAGATCTTTCGATTCGACGCTATGCCTGAAATTACTTAAAACCACCTTTTTTTCCTAATGTTTAAGTCGTTATATCATTGGACTACCCATGTGTTCAAAATGTACTCGTTCTTTCTTTCTTTGAAAATTTTTTTTGCTTGTTTCATAAAATTTTATCACCAATTAAGCAAGTATTTTTATTTAGTTGAATCAAGAATTATACCTGAAAACGCGCACATTCTTAGAACCAGATTTGGAGAAAAAAAAGCCGAGTGTTGACGATGAAAGTCATGCAGAGAGTTGCATAAGCAACATTTCACTTATATCAGAAAGCTCTAGGTTAATTCCTATGGCATTATTGGGATAGTAATTTTTTTAAGAGTAAATTCTTGATTTCAAGCACTTTTTATAAAATTTTAGACAGTTGGCAGAAATGCAATCAATAATGTTACGGAAACTATTCGATCAGGAAAAGGCGAAATTAGAATTTATCAAAGAAATCGATTCATTAAAAAAAAAATTATTAGTCCTTGAATTGGAGATGAAGGAAAAAGATCGCCAAAAAGATGAAATGGGAAAGGTTATTAAATTTTTCATAATAAATTTTTTCTCGGTGATGAAATTGTGAGAAAATTTTTTTTTTTCTGAGGCAAGTGAGAGTGAATTTCAGATCTATGAGAAAAAGATAAAAAATGAAGCATACAAATTTGAAGAAGAGATAAAAAAACGAGATAAAGCTATCAATGCATTGGCAAAAGCACTGGATAAAAAGGAAAAAATCAATTCTGCATTGCATCCGGTACTTACTATTCCTTTTATTTTTTATGTCCTGTTTTTACAGAGTATTTTCTTGTATGTGTAACGTCTTTTTCAAAATTAAACATTAGGAGTTCAGTGAAGACTTTCTTTTTCTTTTTATTGGAAGTTTCATTTCACTAAAATATAAATAATATCAAATTTATTTTGAATAGGATTTGAGAATTGAAGAATTGTGCGAAGTCGAATTTCTGCGGGATTTCCTTAACCGCATCTGCGAGGTGGATTTTTTTGTCACTATGCATTGAATAAATTTTTTCTAATCGATTTATCAGAACTTTGAATTTCTTAGATAAGAATTGAATGGATTCGGATGATAAATTCATATTTTACATTGATTAAATCATTAAATAGATTTATCTATTTATTACAGTTTGGATGCGAGAATGATGATATACATGAAAAAGTGATCGATTTCATAAAAAAAAGACCATTATTAAAGGAGAAATTTTTTGTTGATGAAAAATTTAATGGAAATGCTAACTCGATGGAGAAGGTATAAAATTTCTATAATAGAAAAAAATAAATTTCAAAATCAAACGAGATTCTGAATTCTGAAAATAAATTAAGTGATCAACCAGAGTATTTACTGGAACTAATGATGGCTGGCTATTCGAAGAAAAAATATGAAAGAAAAGAGGAAAAGGCGAATATAATGAAACAAACACCTGAAGGAAATCGGCCGTATCACTCAGCTTTTTAAATAACTTTGAGCAAATCAATTTGAAAAGATTCACTTTCGTTTTCGTATTGACAAGAGCTTCACTTAAAACGAGAGATTGATTGAGTAAATCAGTTGCAGTTAGATTTATCTAAACAATAGTATTTATTATATAATAATTATATAAAGTTTATCACGACTACTAGAAGAATAATGTCAAAATGATAATCAAATGATGCCGAAAATTTATAGAAAAAGCGAAAATTACAGGTTCAAACGGATCATATTTTATTAATGTCGTCTACAAGTGATTTTGCACCCTGAAATTGGTAGCGGATTTTCAGCTTTGGCAACTATACATGCAATTTATTCAACACGTATAGCAATACCATCTAATGGGGCTAATATTATAGATATGCACAATAAACATATCTATATAGATTTGCCTCTCGACATCGAGGAGCAAAATTATCGTTGCCATGTCTAGGCGGGATTCGGACTTAGAGGCATTCAGTCCGCACCATTGGCCGGATTACTAAGCAGGATTACTATCGCACAACACATCACAGTAGGGTAAAACTGCCTCACAACGGCCTAGACCCAGCTCACGTTCTCTATTGGTGGATGAACAATCCAATCTGGTGAATTCTGCTTCACAATGATAGGAAGCTTGGCTGCCACAAGCCAGTTATCCCTGTGGTAACTTTTCTGTATACAGTGATTGACACATAATCAATTGTAAAAAACAATAATACTCATAAAACACTTTTTAATTTTTAAGCAATATTTGCTTCATTTAAAGTAATTAATTTGTCGTTGCTTAAAATGAAACAAAAAATTTTGAAAAAATCTTTCGCTGTAATTTTAATCGGCGAAATTATTTCTTCTTTTGATTTTATGGATAATTACTTTGTTTTTCGGATAATTGTATGTAATTTATAATTGATCGCAGATATTAGAGAGGAAAATAAAATTTTTGGAAAACTGGTTCCCTTTATTAACGCAAATAATGATTCATCTCAATGTTTCGTTTGTAAAAACTTCAAAAAGGAAATACCAAATGTTATAAAGCCATATAAGAGTAACATAACTGAGTGGAAAGCGAATTATAATATCGTATAATATTGAGAGGTGCAAGGGTCCAAATCCAGTCCTCAGGAGATGTATCAAAAAATGGGTTGGCGCTCGCGACTCATCTGCATTTTTATCTATCGTATAGTGAGTGACGACTCATTGGCCAAAACTTCGTGCTAACAGCAGACAGAAATAGCCTATCCAGAAATGGTGAGAGCTACACTTGCTTTAATAAATATGCAATCATTTATGAAAGAATATAAGCTAAAAATCCCGACTTCTTATAAGATTTTTATTATTTTTGGCTATCTTTTGTAAATGTCAAGATTTGTCCACTATTAAATTGGCGGAAAAGCTCATTTTCATTCGCTTGATGTCCTTTATAGGAAAATTTTTATTATTACACTTTTGAAATGCTCTTTTTATTTATTGCATTATTA